TAATTATATTAATTCAACTGTAAACCTAAAAATTTACAGCCAATTTTGAAAATGATGCATCCTACCTCAGGAAACCGTTATTGAATATGTCAATTGTGTTGTAATGATATGCTTCTTTCTTCTAAGTATGTTGTTATTAAATAATTTTTAAAAATTAAAAAAAAAAACCAAAGGAGGGGGTTAAAGAAAAAGAAATTAGAAAATGCTTTTTACAAAAATAGGGAATTAAAATAACATCATCCTAATAACAATAACCAATGTTTATTAAGCACTTCCTAGTTATTAAACTTTCATAACAACCTACTGGAAGCTGGAGAGATGGCAGTTGAGTGCAGTTAAGTGCTCTTGCAGAGAACCCATTCACATAGCAGCTAACAACTGTCCGTAACTCAGTTCCAGCGGGTCTGATGCCCTCTTCTGGCCTCCAGAGGCATTGCACCCATGTGGTATACTTACACGCATGCATACAGGCAGATAAAATACACATAAAATACAAATAAATAAATTTTAAAAAAGAGAACAGCCTACTGAACAGGTACCGTTGTGGTGCACATTTTGCAGGTAATGAAACTGAAATGCAAAGACCATAGCCCAGTGTTACATAGCTAGTATGGAATGACTGGACAGTGTGGTTGTGGAGTGCAGGCTCTAAAGTGCTGCACTGTTTTGCCTTGCTGATGATGAAGGTAAGTCTTCAACATCCTGCAGGTACCTATTTACTATGTATTTGAACTACCATATGCTATCATAGTTCATAGTTCAAACATTTATTTAGATATGCCTCACATACTATATAATTCACTCAATTAACTTTTACAATTCAATGGACTTTAGTATATTCAAGTTAAGCAACCATGAACACTTAAATTTTAAAATATTTTTACTCCACAAAGTAACCTCTTACACACTAGAGGAACCCTTTAGACCCTAGATAACACCTATTTTCTGTATCTGTTGATTTGCCTCATTAACACACAATATATTCTATGAACACAGTCATGTCTGTTCTTTTGTTGACCATCTTGAACTTAGTATGATCTTTTAACATTCACCTTTGCTGTGCTGGGTATCAGAACTTCTTTCTTTTTAATTGTCATTGTGCATACATACCACATTTTGTTTATCTGTTCCACATGTAGATGGATATTTCAGGTTTTTGCTATTATGAATTATGATACTGTGAGCATTCATGTATATGTTTTCTATGAACAGGTTTTTACTCCCTTGGGGTGTATACCTAGGAGTGGAATGGCTGTGCTGTGCAGTAATTCTATCTTCAACTATTTGAGGAACAACTGTACTGTTTCCCAAAGGGGTTGCCCCACTTGATGTAACCATCAGCAGTATTTGAAGGTTCCAATTTCTCTATATGCACATTTTTAAAAACAGATCAGTGGGTGTTAGTACCTTTATTTAAAACAACCTAGTTCAGCTTAATATTACCTTAATTTTAGTAGTTTACTGACAGAGTGCTGGCTTTCTTCTTCTACCACACAAAGATACTGAGATTGCACCATCTGTGAACCAGGAAGCACACACTCACCAGACACTTGTTCTACTTGTATCTTCACATTAGACTACGGAGCCAGGAGAATCTTGAAAAATATATCTCCATTGTTGATAAGACATTCTGTTTATGGGATTTGGTTACAGTATCCCAAATGGACCAAGACACTGACTAAAACCATAAACTTAGAAAAGGATTTGCCTGGTAAATAGACTTTCATATTGCATGCTAATGTTTCCATATAGCTGAACATGGAATACAGAGAGAGCAGTCTGCCTGGGTAGCAATGCTTTAGTAAAAATTGTCACAGTAGATGAATGAAAATAGAGATTTCTTCTAAAATGAATGATGAAATGAGAAGACAAAAAAACAGAGCAAAATGTTTGGGTGTAGAGACAGAAAGGATCCTCAACACCTTCAAACAGAATGCTGGCTTTGTAGCCTGTCTACCTCCCCCAGATTAGCCACTCAGTGTAGAGGAAGCTCCCTGGGTTGGATCTGTTGACTTGAGGACTACTTCACAGGTGCTGACACTTAAACTGGTCCAGTCAGACTGAAAGGACAGGTTACTGTCCTGGATTGGTGAAGAGATGCATTCCCTTCGTCCTTGAATCCTGTTACTGGATACTCTGTGCCTCAGGCTCCCTTGTCACTGTTCCCCATGTAGCATGGTTATTGCCCATAGAAAAGGGTCTCCCAGGAGATTCCTAGGGCTGGTGTGTTGACTCAGTGGTGTTATGGCATTTTAACATTTTCCAGGCCCAATCCTGGTGCTGCTGGCAGCCATCTTACAGCAAAGGCAAAGCTTACCAAAGAAGAAACACGTGGCCAAGATACCTTCCTCTTGATGACCCCACCACTGGAGTCTGTTCCAATACTAGGCTTTCAGCTACATGAATCAATCAGGTCCCCTAGTTTTGAAGCAATGTTTGAGCTTCATCTGTTACTTGAATTTGAAAGCATCCTAAAAGATACAGCAGTGAAATAAACACCTAGAAATTATTTATATGGAAATGTGAATGGTACAGGAAAATCAGAAGAGCTCGATGTGTTCTGCTCTGAGGGTAGATGGAATTTTATGAAAAAAGTAAAAGGCTGACAGTGCTAAGTGCAAAAGGCTCATCAAGAAGATGTTCCTGTACTGCTTCTGCTTGGATCTGGGACCTCTTAAAATCAATCTTTACGTGCCATCTTCAGACTGTTTTCTGATCTGTAAAGTGCTCAAAAGCCTGAAGGATGGAAGTTGACTTTACAACTGGAGTGTATGATTCTAAGTACACTGCTAAATGAAATAAGAATAAACATAGCCAAGACCTATTTAATGATGAGTACATTGAAAGCATATTACAACTCTTCTTCCCAAGCAGATCAAATTGATCAGTGGTGTCTAAGAAGCCTTAAAGACCCATTTTATTCCAGGTGTTTTTTCATGCAGAAGTTGTGAACACTTTAAAGCACACCCCAACTGCAGAAAGAGGAGTCTAGCAAGCTTCCACATGTCCTCACCCGGAGTCTAGAGTTAGCAATGCGTCTCCCTGGTTCTTTCCCTCGTTTCCCATATATGCAGGATCTTTAATTCTTTGAAAACCACAATATATCTTCTTATACGAACCTCTGAGGTCAGCCAGAATACAGAAGCCCATCTGAACCATAACATGCATTTTTACATTTGAAGTACAAAATAATATCATGTGGAAATTGTTATTGAATTAGCACCAAGTCCCATTTAGTTGATGGACTTAACCTAAACAAACATAAACCGACCATTCTCTATGGAGATCACAAGCATTTTCAAAATTGAGATTTAATCTACTGATATAAAACCTTCTTCTGTAGCTTTTAAGTTCTTAGACTCACTTGGTTTCTCTTATATATGTGTTATGATGTCTTCTAAAAATATTTATATCTGCTTTTTTGTCCTGTGACCGCAGGGTCAGAATTTTTCAAAGTGAGGTCCAGAGACACCCTGAGTTTCTAGACCTTTGAGGGGTTTGAAAGACCTACATTATCTTCTTGTATTTTTATTTCTTTGTCTTTTTGAGACAGGGTCTCCCTGTAGTCCCAGCTGACCTGAACTTACTATGTAGACCAGGCTGGCCTTGAACTCACAAGGATCCGCCTGCCTCTGCCTCCCGAGTGCTGGGATTAAAGGTGTGCGCCACCAAAATTTATTTTTATGTTATGTGTATGAATGTTTTGCCAGCATGTGTGTACTTGTACCCATCATGCAATGCCAACAGAGGCCAGAAGAAGGCATTGGATTCCCTGGAACTGACATTAAGGATGACTGTTAGCCACGAAGTGGACACTGCTACAAGACCAGGCTGTGCTCTTAACCCCTGAGCCATCTCTCCAGTCCCCCAAATTATCTTCTTAATAATACAGAGGTGCTCTTTGCTCATTCCAGCTCAGGCACACAGGGGTGCTTTCCAAGGGCTATGTGATACTCAGTATCACTGCCCTAGTGTGGGTAGCAGATATCGGATTCCTCCTGCTTTCAACCAAGCACTGAAGAGGTTGTAAAAATATGTCCTAATCTCAATCTCATTACAATTTATGTTTGAAAATATAACTATTTTGTAAAAAGTTATTTATGTTGATATGTAATGGAGTTATTTTTAAAGAATTAATACATAGAACTAAAATTTTATATCAGTTTTAATCTCTAGTGATTATATAGACAGGTATAACCCATGAAACCAAATGTTCTTTAGGGAGCCCAGTACCTTTTAAGAGTGCAGGGGTGCTATGACCAAATAGTTCATGAACAGTTATCCCAGACAAATTTCCTTCTTCATCGTCTGAAGGATACTTTCAGTTAAAAGAAATGATTCTTTTGCACTATGATTTGCAAATATAACTGGAAATAAGTTATATTTATATAATATAATGATATATATTTATATATCATCTATTATAATTATATTTATTTCTCTGATATTCCTTTCCACAACCTGTGTTCTTTGATTTCAGGATGAAATAGAGATCAGGTTGGTATGGCAAGGAAGTTACCCACCTTCACTAATTCCATGTAGCCGGTCTCCCTGGGCGTCCACCATGGCTGAGCCTTTAGCCCATTCACATTGTAGAGAGAGCGCTGCCAGACAGAAGCGAAATGTCCTCTCTTGTGCCCCAACTCATACCACTTATATGCCTGGAAAAAGAGAAGGGCAGAAAGGCTGCTCCACACGAGTCCTTAGAGGGGGCATTTTTATTTTAAAAGACAGTAAACATAAAGTACTACAGATGTTCCTTGAGTTACAGTGGGGTGATGTCATGATAGACACATTGTGAACTGAAAATAGTCTACAATGAAAATGCATTTCTTCCTCCTAACCCACAGAACATCCTCTTTCATCCTCAGAGAATCCTTGTAGAGGGTCCTTTGTTTCTCCTCCTGGTTGCATGGCTGATGGAGTTGCCAGTGGCTGGAGGTGGGCCACCATGCCCTGTCACAGAGAGTCCTGTGCTATGCATTGCTACCATAGGAAAAAGCTCAAAACTCAAAATTCAAAGTATGGTTTCTACTGAATGCATGCTGCTCTCATACCATTGAAAAACTGAAGAACCTTATGTGGATGCCCACCTACCTTAAGTTAGGGACCATCTGTACTTTGAGGTCATTAAGTCAAGGTCTTGCCTGTTGAGCTCCTGGGGAAATACTATGATTTCACCGAGTTTCTGACTATGAGCTGTTAGGACAAATGAACACTACTACTTCCTTTTCCCTTGTAGGCTGCTGGATCTGTAGATACTGGATCATGCCCCATCTACTTTGGTTTTTGCACATCTGAGCCAGTTTAGAACTCATGTTGAGCAGACATTAACTTACAGCACCAAAGGAGACCACATTTATAGCTTTCATTTTGTAAGTTCTATTTTTATGTTTCCTTTAAAAAAGAACCAGATTATTATTTAAATAATTTCTATAAATATATTTGCATTTGCTGAATAAGACTGCTAAACTACCTTTTCTGGTAACTTTATTTCATGTTCACATTTAAGGCAGCAAGGTGACAGAGCTGACAGAAAGGAAATAATATTGTGAGTTGGCAAATAAATAGAATGACAGTTCATATCATATTTTTTAGAAGGAAACTTTTGTGCCTAACTTATACATATCTTCTGCCATAAGGGACAGCATTTGTGGCTTTAAGTCAGCTCTAACATGATACAACTGGCCTCCAAGACTAGCCTTTTCATGGACAGCTGGCTGCAGAGCACTTGCTCTATGTGGCTGGTCCAAATGACAGTCCATCACACGATCCCAAGTAGCCCATCCTATAGGCTGCCTGCACCATGTGGTCCACTGTCTCTGCAATGGAAGAGTTTTCTGGTAGTGAGCTGAATATCATCACCTACATGGCTGCAATTTTGATCTAAGGATTGTTCTTTAAAAGAGTGATTTAAAACATACACACTATACCCCTCCACACACACCATGTATCCACATACCATACCCACCCAACACACACACACACACACACACACACACACACACACACACACACATGTTCCTCTGTAGCCCAGGGCAGCCTGGGACTTGGGATTCTTTTGCCTCAACTTCCTGAGAGCTAGAATTATGGCATATGCCATCATACCTAGTTAAATACATATGCTCTGATCAATAAAACAAGCATTTAATATCAACTTTAATATCTTCTTTGTAAAACTCCAGATACAATTTATAACTTCTGAAAGTGTTTAACATTCATGTTTCAAATGTCTCTTCGGCAACACAGTAAGGTATGGGAACAATGCCTCTCCAATTTCCCACATCCCCTCACTACCTGCTTTTATGTGAAAGGTCTCAGCAGAACTTTCTAACAGCCCCAAATATCTCCATTTTACAAATGTTAAAGCTCTTTAACATTGAGTTTATTGTTGTTTTGATTTGAGACAGGGTCTCCTTGTTGTAGATCCAGCTGGCCTGGAACTCATTATGTAGACCAGACCGGCCTTGATCTCACAGAGATCTGCCTCTGCATCCCGGGTGCTGGGATTAAAGGCGTGTGTCATCATGTCCAGCTCTACTTATATATTTTTCTTGAAACACATATAAATTATGCCTAGAGTTTCTTTAAAACCCAGTAAGTTAAAATGGCCAATTACTGTCAATTTTTAAAAAAATTTAGCATTCACCTTTGAAATTACTTTGATCATTATGATTTTAGCAAAACTGAATTTAAGAGTTTTAGTTTTTGAACCTTCTGGTGTTAAAGTGAACACTACCAGTTACAACAGACGAAATTTGGGAAAGTCTGACAGTCCATTAGTTTTGAGTCATCTGTAACTCATTTGAAGGGCTATGCAAATTGATTGACTAGCAGGAAATCCCAATCACCACTCAAAGTAGCTGAGCTACAGGGTTCACTGTCCAATGTTTGTGGCCTTACTATACCTGTTCACACTATCTGTATGATCTCTTCTGAGATGCACAGAAAACAAGAGCCTTGAATTAGCATTCCTCTGTCATTTCCCCTTTAGGAGAACTAAAATCATGACAATGATTGTTCAGAAATTTTAAAATTGCTTCTATTGGTATCATAGACTGAACCCAATGAATCCAGATGGATTTTTTTAGACATGTAAACTGACAAGAAAAACTCCAAGGAAAACCCATAATCAAGTAAGTAAGAAACCTGCGAAAATAACCTTTTTATCCCTTGTTTATTAGGAGTTTTATACCTCTAATGAGGACTAATAAAACCCACAGTAGACATGCCTGAGCTACCTACCTTCTTGGTGTTTTGCTGTTGTTTTCAGATGGGCACAGGATGACCTCAAACTCACTGTGTAGTCGAGGATGACCTTGAACTTCTGATCCTACTGCCTCCACTTCTTGAGTGCTGGGATTACAGGTACGTACCATGCCCAGTTACTGCAGTACCAGGGAAAGGCGTGCTAGGCAAGCACTCTACCATCTGAACTCCATTCCTAGCCCAGACCTACCATCTTAAATGTATTCTATATCAATGTTGTCTCTATTTTTGTCAAATTATTGCTATGCATGTTTTACACACACAAACACACACACACACACACACGCAGATGCATGTACATGGTAAAAGATTCCAACTGAGGAATCTGTGATGGATCTGTCCTGAGTGGCCTAGCTGGAGACTGCCTGTCTGGAGAATGTGTAACAACAGAGTTGGGAGACAGAATTCTGGTGAGAACACTTGGCTGCAGCTTGCATGGGTAGGATTGTAAATGCCACTCTGTGGAAACAGGGCTTTGTTTTATTTTGAATCACGGGTGTTTGGAGCACATGATGGTAGCAGAAATTGAGACGAAAGCAAGACGCAACAGTCAGGTGTTTACACCCACTGCTGAGGTGGAATTAACAACCCCATGCAGAAAGTGGTTGCCCACCATCCCAGGAACCCTGTTCCCCAGAACCTGTCCTCGAGTACAGGAGGGAGGAGGTAAGACTGACCCAAATTTTGATTCCAGAAGTTCGGCAGTGCATGGAAGGAGAGAAGGAACTTAAGAGGAGAGCAGCTCAGAGAAGACTGCTCTGTGACGTCATGGGCACAGGAAACGAACCTGGGCTACGTGGACTGGAAGTTATGGAAATGCTGGGGCCACTGAAGCTTAAGGACTGTCATGAGACATCTTCCTCCCCTTTCCTCTCCATCAAAACAAAAGTGTTCCTTAAAATCCATTTTCTCATCAGCCTCTGCGGCAGAGGCTACAGACTGGCTGTCATGTGACACCCCTGTCAGAGCCGATCTCCATGCACGGAAGCACGGGATGTCACTGCTGCACGCAGGCCGGCTCAGACCTGAAGATCCAAAACCTAGTATCAGGTTATGCTAACATGGGCTACTATGGGCTTGTTTCTGTTCCCTATAAAGGATGAATCCTTGTGAACTTTCTAAATTCAAGAACTGTGCTGTTCTTTGCATATTAATGTTAAGTGGATAGAACGGTCCCATAGGCTCAAATAGCAGGCTTTTAACAAGTGTTCGGTAGTGAATTCGTTGCCCTTGAAGAGTTGTTTTCATCTAAGATGTGAGATAAATCATAGACTTCTTTTATCTGTTCTTGCCCTGCACTGTGAAATGTTCAAAGATAAACTAATTAGTGACAATTATATTTATAGTATTTGGACACGAACAATTAACAGTGTTAGACATTGTAGCAGACTCTTTTTCATCCTTTTATTCAAAGGATGGTTCTTTTTACACTGAGAAGCATGAAGGAGCAGATAGTGACCTCTGATCAGAAATATGTCCTTCTTTGTCTTTGCTGCTGGCATCTCATGCTATTTTAGTTGAATGACTGGTAGGTTAAAGGGTGAAAGATATAGATGAATAGAAATGCAAAAGCAAACAGTGTCAACTGTCCACACCTCTAGTACCCCAAATTTACTTATGTTTTCACAAGGGATTACACTGTCAGAACCCCCTTGCTTCTCTGAGCTCTCAGCTATTCTAACTAATTTTAGAAACGTGAAGTTGTGTCGTCCTTCCATGTCATATATGGAAGGCAATGGTTATAAAGATTCAGAGTGTCACTTTGCCTTTTTCTCTGCAGACTCTAAAGACAGTTGAGTTTAGAACCCTTACATTGTATTACATTAGAATGTAAATCACGGTGTGTTTGTTGTAAAGGGGGCTGGAAATTCATGGTACATGATTTCACAACTAATGACCCAATGTTATGTTTATAGAAGCTGGTAAATGTGCTTAGGGAAAAAAAGTAACAAGCATAAAGAAAATATGTGACTTGCTCTAATTACTACATTTGTGTGTGTATGCGTGTATGCACATACATGCATGTGTATGTGTTGGTGCCTATCATCTTAGCTGCAGATGTTCAGCTTAAACTTAATATGAAAGCTACATGGTTAACAATTAAGATCAGTGTCCTTAGCAATCAGTCAAAGAGTTTGTTCTAAAACAGTTGTGGAAATTGCAAAATGAAACAAAAATTAATCTGTGTAAATTGTTTCTAAAAATTTTTAATTCTTTTTATTTTATATGTATGAGTGTATTGCCTATATGTATGTAAGTGCATCCATGTTGTGAAATGCCCATGGAGGTCAGAAGAGGGCATTGGATCCCCTGGAACTGGAGTTATTGACAGTTGTTAGCTGTCACATGGATGCTAGGATCCAAACCCAGGGCCTCAGCAACAGCAGCCAGTGCTCTTAATGATAATTTTCCAGGTCAACGTTTACTTCTTTATAAAGGCACTAGACATACACATTGACACATATATGTTCACACATACACATACACACACACACATACACACATCAATTAAAAGGCTATTCTTAAGATTAGTTAGCAGGTGCCTTACGGGGAAAAAAACTAAATCCCAAAGATTCTTCATAAGACCACTGCCTTCAAAAGTTTATACTCAAAATATTTGTAACATTCTGTCTCTTAGAAGTAATGATTATTGTCACTCTATCCTCTATTGAACAAAGCTACAAATCCACTCATTACCTCTTTGTTCCCCACCCTCTGCATGGCATCCCCCAGGTGGAAATAGAACCGTCCATCATCTGTGCCAGGATCCCCGGATTCAATTCCTTCCTAGAAAAAGACAGTGTTAGGATTTGTGAATGGATGAAATTCAAAGTTTCCTTTCTGGATTTATGTAGATTTTCCTTATGTAGAAACTACAATATAGCATAGGAAAACCTAAGATTCTGGAAATTATATCTCAGTATTAAAATATGGAATTGACACAATGGGAGGAAGATCATCCCACACCTCCCTCCGCTTCCAAGGCTCAGGGACTTTTGTGGAAGAGGTTGGTGGAATATCCTCTGACCACTCTGCCAGCAAGCTGTAGTCACAGCTCCTTCCATACTCATCAAGGAATCGATGGGGGTGGGGGGTGTCAGTTACCCCTCCCACCCAATCAGTAGGCCTTAGCTGCATGTGGGGGAGGGGCTAAGGATATATAAGCTGAGACACCATGAGGTACCTCTCCTGTCATTTTGTGAGGCTGTCGGGAAGTCACAGGATCTACATTTCAGTGTGGACTTTCGAGTGCAGCTGTAAATGGGGGAGGGTGCCCACTTTTCTTTAAATAAATCCCCACCCTATACTCTGTTAGCCCAATAAACTCACTAGGATTTTCCAAAAAAAAAAAGGAGAGAGAACAGAGCCAATATATACCTTCATTATTCCACCAAAGTTGACCCCATATTGGTGAGTCCTTTTGTCTTTGATTTCTTTTCCTATTTTTCCCTGTTACTCTTCATTGTATATGTATTTTTATGTAATCTGCTTCAAGTTATTCCTGGAAAATGTTTTAAAAATTGCCTCTCTTTGGCATAGTAATAAAAAAAATATGGCATTGAGGTTGGTCAACATTTAAAACATAAAAATAAAATGAGATTACAAAGTTAAATTTAACAATAAGCTTATTATTAATGAAAGGTGGAACAGCCCATAAAATCCACATTTATTTGTGTGCTTTCACTGTGGGAGCTAGCATAATCAATATTCCAAATAATTTCTTGGGCTGAGTATTTCTCACATTTACTTTGCTCTCCAAGTCTGACCATATGCCACCTAGAGTCTTTTTATTCCTAAACCCAAAGACTTAATTGCTAGTGTTTCAGGCGATGGCAATCCAAATGCAAGTCATATTTCTTTGTACACAAAACAAATGTGTCATGACCAGTTAATGAAAGTTTTTACAGACTTTACAGAGGGTTATGAAAGCCAACTGGAATCCTGACACATGTAATTTTCATTAAACAATTTCTATTGTGAAACATTTTGCCATTTCTCCCCATTTTCACACAAACTGCAAATGAGATTTGCGTTTTAAAAAGGGAAGAGAAAATACTAATAGAATATATTTGGAAAAACAAAAGATGGACAAAAGTCTGAAATATTTTAATACCAAGGACTTCTTTTTTGAAAATTTGCGCCTTAGAGGTCTCCTCAGAAAAAGCCTTCCTCTTAGGGCAGGTGAGATGGCTCAGTGGGTAAAGGCACTTTCTATGAAGCATGATGACCTGAGTTTGATTCTTGGAACCCACATGGTGGAAGGAGAGAGCCAACTCCTGCAAATTGTCCTTTGACGTCCACATACACAGTATGGCAGGCAGTGCCCCTCCTACCCATAGTAACATAACTTTCTAAAGCTCATTATCTTTCTCTCAGAGGAAATGTTATTTACATAATATTGGAAAACAGTAACTAGCATAACATACTGCCTGGTGTGCAAGCATCCTTGTTTGTTAAGTACCCATTCCAGCTTCTGCTTTCCCATCTCTAGCTGGAAGCGTATTAGCAGGCTGTCCTCGTCAAAGGAAATGTGTGGAGAACACTTGAAACCAGAGCAACACACATGCCCACATGGCCCTGCCAGGAATGGAGGGACTGCAGAAGCTTAATGGCAGACTGGACAGATGGGGGCACATCCCATCCCAAGGGATGCCGACGCATAACTCTGTGACCAGGGTGTGGTCCAGGCAGGACCTTTCAGGAGAGACTCGAAGTCTGTGTGACTGTATAAAATGTGCCGACTCTCAAGTATGGCAAGCAATTACAATTGTTTCAAGAGACCACAGAAGCCAGACATACATGGCATGTAAAAAGGCTACGCCACCAGCTACTGTTAATATGGTAGTATTGCTATTTAAACTGAAACTAACTTACATAACTTTAAAATTCACTTTCTCAGTCACAGTAGTCATGCTTTAGGGCCTGTGGTCTCATGTGGCTGGTGGTCACTCTAATGAATACTACAGGTAAGTAGTATTTCTATCCTGGCAGGCAGTTTTATTGGATAGTTCTAAGCTAAACTAAGTATGATTCTACTGGAATTCATCAGGCCTGTTTGATATGGTAGAAAAAGTAACAAGTCTACAATTTTTTATCCCATGTTGTGTTAGCAGCCAAAATCCTCCTCAGAGTAGGTTCTGTACATACTTAACTTATAAAAGAAACATTAATGCATTGTCCACATTTTCATAGCGTATCAACAACTTTGGTCTACTTGTGTCAGTGAATAAAAATTATAACAGAGAGCAGTGAATATTATCAATGTATGCTACACACATGCATGAAAATGTCATAATGAAACATGTTATCTTACATAATTAATGAGTGCTAATTAAAATAAAAAACTGTTGATCACCCCCAAGATAAAAGTGCCACTACTGCACGGCTATAGTTGGTTGTACTGGTCATTGTGATTATTAGGCTTTAAAGATAGGGTTGGCTGGACTAGTTGTCTGGGAAGAGCCTTGGAAGACAAAAGAAAAATGAGGAAGAACCCAATAGAGGGATGCTTGTGGAAGCCCTTGTCAAGAAACTCCAGTGGACTCTCATAGGAACATTTGAAAATTGCCCTGTTCTGACTTTTTTCTAGTTTCCTGTCTAGAACTTGTAATGCTAATTACTCTTGCCTTTACTTCTCCTTCACATCTCCTATCATGATTCAAGGACTTTCTTTTCCCCTTAGAGACAAAAGTTATGCAATTTGGGAGTCTTTTAGATAGACCCACTGAAGGGGTACTCCAATTGCCTCAGCCTGCATCCCTGTTCAGCATGGAAGAAGCCAGAGCGGTCTGTGTCCCTATTCCCTATTGGCAATTTGGGTAACCCCTTCAGAGGATGGCATGATAAGAATAGGAGGTAGGAATTGGCTAGGCAGTTAGGGTAAAAAGACCCCAAAGAAATGTAGCCAGTTTCTGGGTTAAAAGTCAAAATGTCCTTGGGCCTGTTAGCAACACACTCTGTTCCAAGGGCCAAAAATGTCACAATGTCAAAACTATTTGGGAGCTAGTATCTAATCCTTAAAAGATTTTAGGGTTACCTCTTCAGAGGGGGGGAATGTTGGAGGGGAGGGAGTAGGCATGGATTTGATCAAAACACCTTATATGCATGTGTAAATTCTCAATAAAGTTTTTGTAAAAGTTAAAAAAAAAAGAAAAGATGGGTTGGACCATTGATTGATTTTCCCCTTAGCAGCTTGCACAGTATCCTCCAAAACCATGAGAGATAGTCCTTAGGGAGGAGCTTTCCAGGCTAGTTCCAGCTCCTTTGCTCCAAGTCCTGTCTTCAGCAATAGGGTCTTACCTTCAGGTTCTGAGAAGTAATCAAGGGCTGTGGCAATAGCCTTATTATTTTAGGAGTCTCATGGACTGCCCTGGCCATTAAGGGAGGTTTCTCCTGTCTGGCATGTGCTCCTTTTTATATAGCCTTCACGTATACACATGCACTCATGTTCAAATGTTGTATATGTAATTTTCAGTAAGGTTTTTGAGTTAATACCATTCCCTCTGGTTTTTCACACCACCTAAGTGCTATTTATCTCTCTCCTCTCTCTCTCTCAGTCTAACCTCCCTCCTCCCTCCCCAGTTAAAGTTACTCCCCTTTCCCCCTTGATAATACCTGTCTCCCATTATCCCCCCTCTCTTGAGCTGCTTCTTCCCTTTTACCCCCATGGTTCCTTGTATGTCCTTCCCTCCTCCCTTCCCAGTTGAATAGCCCCATTTTCTCCATTTCCCCCTTGGTAACTTCTGTTTCCTAATATCTCCCTCTCTCAGGCTCTTTCCTTCCCTTTACCTCCATGGTTCCTTTCCATTTTCCTGGGGTTTTTTTGCAGTTATATCAGGACATATTCTCACATATAAGATTTGGTGCTAAGATCCACAAATGAGTCTGTGTTACTTCACTTAGTAATACATTTTCTTGTTCCACCACTGCTGGGTGAGAGAGAGAGTAGATCCTTTCTTAAGGGATAGGCTAACTAGACTCCAGTGGATGAACTTACACTGAGGGACATCTGGGCTCACAAACTTGACTTGATAGGCCCTTAAAATATATGACAGAATGCATGAAATTCGAGGGGGGCGTTGTGGGAGAAAGGTATAAAGATGATTAAGATGTTCTGTATGAAATGCATAAAAATTCAATATTAAATATATACTGAAGAACATTTTAGCAACTTTAGTTTTAGGAATTCCATCATAAAGTCATTTCCAAATAGTAACTGCTCAGATGGTTAAAGTCTGAACTATCTGCCCAAAGGCTTGTGTGTTTTTGGCCCCAGCTTTTGGTGCTGCTTTGGTGGAATCTTGCTGGCAGAAGTAGGTCACCAATGATGGGACTTGAAAGTCACAGCCGCTTCTAATTCTTTGCTTAGGATCAGGGCCCATAGGGTGAGGAAGCAGCTGCCACACATTGTGACACCATGAGCTGTGCCATACCTCCCCCACAACGGCAGACTGCAACCTTCCCAAACTGTGAGCCAACACAAACTTTTCCTTAAGTTGTCACTGTTGGGTATTTTGGTCACAGTGATGTCCAAGTAGCTCACATGTTGGTATTTCTATAAGATAGTCAGGTAAAAGAACATATGCCACATGAATGCTGCAGTCAGAGGGGGCACATTTTGATGACCAGAAGACTCAGTGCATGCCAATCGATCTAGAGGCCATCACCAAGGGGATCCACGTAAGTCCAAGAAATGAGGGGTGGAAAGATGGGAAGTGATGACGGCTACCTTTAGGTAGGGAATGCTCTCAGCAATCTTGTTCTGTGCCTTCAGGATGAAGCCGTAGTGCACTTTAGCAAAGCCATCGTTTGGTGTCACCTTCAGAACCTGAAGGCCAAGAAAACAAAAAGCTATTGTGACAGCACAAACTGTACAAACAATTGTCAAAACAAATTTTAAATGGTTTTGCTGTACTTGGACTGGATTATGATATTATACCTTCAAACACTGTGGTAGAAATTCATCTCACTGCTATCATTACACTTAAACAGCCTTATCACTCTCAACTCGATTTGCTTTTCACACTTACACACGAAATAAAGTCATGAATGAGAAGGCAGGAACTGATGGAGCATGGCTTTAACAATGCAAATCAGCAAAATGCCTGTCCATTGATACGGCTTCAGTGGCTTTTCTTCCTTAGTGATTAGAGAAAACTGCCCTGAATTTGTTGTGTTTAAAGGCATGGTTATTATATACTGTGTGTGTGTGTGTGTGTGTGTGTGTGTGTGTGTGTGTGTGTATAATATTATATATTATACATTGCTAACATACAAGCCTAAATATATCAGGATCCACTCATTCAACAAAAATTTCATCAGTGGTCGCTGAATTAGTGGCAAAGTATGACATGAAAAGAATCTGCTCCAGATGTGTGGCGATCACAAAGGGAATGTGACTGGCATTGCAGGGGACATCACCACGACCATGCATTCATTCCAAGAAATGAGACATGCTGTACTCACATTCAGAGGACACAGCATAGTTCCTGGTACTAGCCTAACCCCCATGACTGAACTGTGAGGAAGCATCCGGCAGATACTACACACCAGCCAGTTGCCTGTGCTTATCAAAAGTAGGGGGTGAAAAAACCCTGAGGAGCTATCACAGGCTGAGCAGACCAGAAGATGTGAGGACTATGAGGTACCTTGTAGGTCCTAAGCAGAGACACTGGAAGAATTCTGACTGTCATGAACCCACAGGCTAGCCTGTCATGGCACCAGAGTCAAATTCATCTTTGATTCTGTGCTGAGGCTGTGCATAGAGAGCTGGAGACCTGAGTGTGCAACTTCTGTCCTACTTGTGCAGCCTTTGGAACGGTAAAATTATTTAGAAATACAAAGCTTAAAAATTGTGTATGAATAAAAAATCAAAGGGAGCTCAGATCATTTTAAGCACTGGTATAAGGTTGGTGAGAAAATCCAATACTCTTTGATAAAACCTAGGTGAGTATTTCATGTAAACCACATCATTGTTTATTATTATATGCGTTTATTATGATTTAAAAATAAATTGTGCAAATGCCTCTAAATTAAATATTAGCAGCAAGAAATAAAAATTATTAGCTTGTGAAGCTGCTTAGGTAAATGAATTTACAAAATAAAAGAGAAAGATGAAGAAGGCTTGAGAGGTACATGTGGGAGGTATGTAACTGTCTCTTCTCTTCATCTTTGACCTGGTTAGGAAAAGGGAAGTCACAGCCATCATGGGGGCCTTACACAGGAAGTGCAGGGTACCTAGAAAGGGAGCATGAAGCTCTTGTTGGACTCACTGCACACAATGTGTGCTTTTAGCTGGTCCTGGAGCTCATTCAGTCCCACTTCTGGCCACCATGACCTTCAATGCATATTTAAAATCCTAACATGCAATACTTTCTTCACCTGCTACACCCTAGACTGAATCTCATCTCTTCCCTGCCTTTCTGCAGGACCCTCCTACCTGCTGAACCTCTGTACCCCTGCTGTTCATTCTACACATGGGCCCCTAAGGGAACCCACTTAAATCTGGTCAGACCTCATCCCTCCTCAGGTTCATTTCATTCAGAGAGAAAGATCAACAAGGAACTACCTCTAAGGCTTCCCCACCTGTCTGGCTCTGCTCTTCCCCGACCCTCTGAGACAAAGTAGATTCCTTGCTGCTCACAGCAAGCCCAGGACACCACTGCCATGGTACTCAGCATTCCTCTGGCTCAGTCACTCTTCTCTCCAGCATCCCTTTATCTAGGGAGAATGCCCCTGGTCAAAGGTCACTATACTATTTCAGTGCATTCTTCCCCTGACCATTCCCCCACTATAAAACAGACCCCACCCCAGTCATATCATGTTCTTTATTCTGGCTGAGTTTCTTTCACAGTACCCATCACCATCTGACCCATTTGAGCATTTTATTCCCTTCCTAACATGTCTGTTCCACTCATTGCCCATCCCCTGGGCTAGGGGGCAGGGAGCTCTCAGGAACTCTGTGCAAAATGCATGGATGGGTAGATGCTGGGCTGTGTGGAGTAAGAGCTCCTGAAACACCAGCTCTGCTTCTTTGGTTCACAGGACCCAAACTAGAGCCTGAGCTGAGAATGTGCCTCGGGAATTGAACAGAATCAGCACACATCAGTTCTGCCTGCATTGATATGCAGAGATCATTATAACTATTGCAGCTACATAGGTGACATTTCTGTTTACTGTAGGCACATAGCCATGAAGTAATTAGCAAATTTAATCATTTACTAGGCATCTCAGAATACATGGAACTCTCCTAGGCCACAGATAGACGAACAGGAATGAATTATTCTCTCTTTTCTCAGACAGCTTTCAATCAAGCTAAGGAGACACATTTGCAACAATGATGACAGAACATGGTGGCACACCTTACAGAAATAGGCAGGGCACATGCAGTGGTCCCAGGAGGGGCATCTGACTAGAAGTATGGTCCTCAAGGCATCTAGGGATAAATAGGAGTTTACCAGAAGGGAAGGGAGGCAACAGTGGGGAGAAGGCATTCAAGGCAAAAGAAAAAGTGAGAGAGGAAAAAAAATGGATTGTGAGGCTGGGGCTGGAGAGATGGCTTAGCAGTGAAGAGTGCTTCCTGCTTAAACATGAGGACCAGAGTTCAGAGCCCATCAGCCATGAAACAAGCTGGGTGTGGTGGTTTGAATGAGAAATGCCCCCCAAAGGCTCATGTACTTGAACACGACCCCCAACTGGTGGAGCTGTCAGGTGATTGGGGATGGGCTTTGGGAGTTTACTGCCTCATTAAACTTCCTGTTCTCTCTCTCTGCTTCCTGTCTGTGGATGAAAGTATGATCAGCAAGCTTACTGCTCCTGCCACCATGCTTCCCTAACTATAGGGAAGTTCTGCCATGACAGACTCTATCCCTCTGGAACTGTAAGCCAAAAGACCTGCTTTCTTCCTTAAGTTGTTTTGCCCCAGTATTTCACCACAGGAACAGAAAAATAACTAAAATACTGGGCATCTCTAAAACATCCATAACTCGGGGCTGGAGAGATGGCTCAGCGGTTAAGAACACTGGTTGTTCTTGCAGAGGACCCACGTTTGAATCCCAGCACCCACATGGCAGCTAACAACCGTCCTAACGTCAGTTCCAGGGGATCCAATGACCTCTTCTGTCTTCCGCAGGCATTGCATGACACGGGTGCACTTACTTACATGCAGGCAATACACGCATACACATAAAATAAAAATAATAAATAAAATTAAGAAAATAAAAATAATAAAATATATATTTTTTAAAATTTGTAACTCCAGTTCCAAGGGCTCCAACACCCTCTTCTGGTCTCTGCATGCATTCCCTCCCCAACATACACATGCACATACACTCATGCAGATAAGCATGGGTGTATACACATAAATAAATAAAACAAATCTTTTAAAAAGAGAAAAATGAGGACTGTGGGCTGGGAACTGCAAAGGGAAATGTTGTAAGTACAGCCACAAAAGACAATAGGAAAAGAGCTTGGAGAATAGGGCCGGAGTCACATTATCAAAGCATTCTGTTTTGTAACACAGTCAAGATAATACCATAAGGAAGAGAAATTACAAGCACTTCTGCTCTGAAATGTACTTATTATGGAGCAGGCTCATGACTGTGAGCTCACCTGTAGGTACAGTCATGCAGCCTATCTGGTGGCACATACAGGATCAGGAGGGTGAGACAGAGTTCAGACTCTAGAGCAGCCTCCCACTTGCTTCTTTACATTTAGGTACCATGTTTTTGCACTTTAGAGATGGATGTGCAATGAACCCACAGCTTCGACAAACCCATACACAGTGACACAGGTGGGGCTGCAAGAAACCCAGACTGAAAGTGAAATAATATTACAGATTCTTTATATTTACCTATCATCTATCTATCATCTCTCTGTGTCATCTATCTATCATCTATCTATCTATCTATCTATCTATCTATCTATCTATCTATCCATCTATCTTCCTACCCATCATCTATCTATCATCCATCTATCATCCATCTATCATCTATCTATCAATCTATCTATCTATCTATCTAATCTATCTGTCATCTATCAGTCTATCATCTGTCTATATACCTACCTATCTCTATACTCAAATATCTATATTTCTACTCTCAATACAAACACATTACAAGATACATTTCAAGGACTTTTAAAAGACCACAAACAGTAGTCTCCTTTCCTTTATTGAAGACTTCATTTTCCACAATCAGTCATGGTCCAAAAATATTAAATGTTCTGTAAATAAATAATCCATGTTTTAAATTGTAGATTGATGTGATATCATGAAGAAATGTTGCTATTCCATCTATTCTGCCTGGAATGGGAAGGATCCCTTCAGAGTTCCCACACTGTGCATGCTACCTGTCTGCTTGTTGCTTAGAACCCATCTCTACCAGCAGACTGACTGCTTTAGTACCACCCTGCTTATGTGGTAAGCATCTTATTCAATAATGGCTCAAAGTACCACTGCAGTGTAGCATATATGCAGGGTTCAGAGCTATCCTCCTCTTTAGGCATCCACTCTGAGACTTCGAAGGTATCCATTATGGATGCAGGGAACTACCTGTATTGATTGCTTTTCTGTTGCTGTGATGAAACACTGTGACCAAAGGAACTTACAAAAGGAAGAGTTTATTTTAACTTACACTTCCATCATGGCAGCAAAGGGGGCAGGAGAAGAAAGCCAAGTGATCACATCTTGAAGCAGGCACGGGAAGCAGAGACTGACTGGTAAGGCTTAAGAACTCTTCAAAGCCAGTGATGTGCTTCCTCCAGTAAGGACACACCTCCTAAAATCTTCCAAAAGAGCGCTACCAAGTGGGGACAAAATGTCTAAATACTTGGAGCCTATGAAGACATTCTCATTCAAACCATCAAACCACCACACTACCAAATCCATAAGTAGCACTGATATTACTGAAATATTAACATTCCAGTGAGAGCAAAAGGATTTTTGCCAGTTCAATAAAATTTTTAAAGCATTTTAAATATTTCATGCTTAAAACTTCTTTGCAGGGAGTTTACTTTTCATAATGTACATATTATACTAGCATACTTATGTAAGTGGACAATATTTAAATCCATAAACATACTGCAGGCATTTCACTTTGGCCTGGAAGGAATGTGGTAGTTTGGATGAGGCTTGTCCCCTATAGGCTCTAAGTATACGAATATTTAGTCAGTTGGTAGCACTGTTAGGGTACGTTCAGAGGTGCAGACTTACTGGAGGAAGCAGGCTTTGAGAGTTCACAGCCTTGTCCCATTTCCAGACTCACTCTCTCTGCTTCCTGTGCCTGTTTGAAGATGTGCGTTCTCAGCTTTCTGCTCCGGCTGCCTCCTGCCATGCTTCTCCCACCATGATGGACTTTTATCCCTCCGGAATTGAAAGCCCAATAAACTCTTCTTTCTATAACTTGCCTTGGTCATAGTGTTTTATCACAGCAACAGAGAAGTAACAAATACAGGTACACAATCAAAGGGTTTTGGAGAACACAGCTGTGGAACCACAGGAGCGTTAGAGCTAAAGGCTATGGTCAAATGGTGCTGGAGGATGATGAAGGTCAGAGGATAGCAAGCCTGCAGGCCCAGGAATCTGGGTCAAATCAAGCAAAACGTGAGCAGTACCTATGTGTAAAGGCCAGGGAAGGTGAAGCGATTTGGAAGATAAAATGAGCAGATGGAGACTTGGCTTCCAACTATAATCTCCATGAAGGCACATTCTGCGTCGTTTCAATAATTCTGGTCCTGAGATGGAGTGCATGCATTTAACAAACGTGGGATGGCTGAGTGAAGGGCAGTAAAAAACTGGGGCTGATGCGCTTGGACCTCAAGTGGCTTGGCTAAGTGGCAGTGTCACTACCTAGGAACAGAGAAATGGGAGAAGCCTCCAGAAGTTATAGATGAGAGTAGTCTATTTACCTCTGTAAATCCAGTCTCTGTGCTGAAAATAAAAACAGCAAAAACCAAAACTAGGAGCTAACCATGATTTTTATAAATGTATTCCAAAATAAAAATCAATGTGAAGAAAAATATGTAACTCTAGCATTAGTTTTCTGAAAATCATTTTTGAAAGAGATATAAACACACCGGGACAAACTTTGCTTAAGGAGAGAGCATCTATTAGCTACCGCTCATTAGCTTAGACATGTGAGGAGGAGGCAAAACCCAGATTGCTTTCAATGTAGTAATGCTTCTTTTAAAAGAAACCCACTCAGTTGTGCGATATAGTGATATTTGGAGTTCTGCGCCTCCCACTATGCTCAGTCCGGTGAGAATGGGGTCTGAAAGGCATAAGCAACAGCAGGTCAGTTTTATTTTCTGACGTGAAGTAAAATGCTTCACCTATCTCAGATGGTGTCAGGCAAAAGAGATGCAGGCATTCAAGGAAGATTTTTAAAAGGTAAGCAAGGACAAATACACCACAGGTTGGATGCTGGCATGTCTTCACATCCTGCTGTACCCTCTGGTGTGTTTGGCATTCAGCCAACACTTTACTGGGCTCTTTAGACTGAAGGAGGCAGTGAGAGAGGAAAGGGAAACAGGACTTTCACAAGGAGAGAAGGGAAGAAGGGAGGGAGGGAGAACACATGCAAGTAGGGAAGGTCACTATACTTCCGTGTCTATGGCTCTCACACGGGTAGAATAACGGAGTTTTCTGACATGGTTTAATCACTCTTATATTCACAAGGCCCTGAGTCACTGAGACACATGATGTTTCTCTTAACCAACCTCTGCAAGACAGGGATGCTAGTGCCATTAGCAAGTACCATTTCCTACATGGAATTATCTTAAATCCTGGAACAGGTCTTTAATAGATGGTACACATTTGCAATGCTGTAAGCTTAGTCCACCCTGTGCAGATATGATACCATAAAAAGCCAGGGTCAAATTTCTGCTCTCTCAGAAAATATAAAAATGACAAGGGTAAAAACAACAAGAGTTTCAAAATTCAATGACTTCTCAATTAAACAGCAACAGCAATAAACAGAGGCAAGCACCACTTTGTGAGTGGACCTAGTCTCTAGACTGGGATGAAATTGCTGCTGTTGACTGCACTTTCAAAATACAAGGGATCTATCTGCTAATATGGCTAACACATAGTAGAAGCATTTGATGTAAACGGCAGCAGCTTGAAAACCATTGATCCAGTGCCCTAAATTAAAGAATAACAGGGAAACATGGCCATCTTTTTTACAGAGACATTAACTTTCTCTTGCTTCAAAGTTCATTTAACATCCTGTTTGTTCTGTACCAAATAAATTCCCTCATTGCCTAAAGGATCCAGTTTTCTAGCTTTTATAGTTACTTGTGACTTACAAGTTACCTATTAAAATGTTCATTATAAGGTAGATATCCTTTGAAAGCCATCCTGGCCAGAGGATCAAAAAGGCAATGCCCTTTTGAAAAGGGCACAATCTACTGCTTATATGTGATAGGCCCACACTGCAAAAACAGAAAAGATTACATTTTATATTGACAGAAACTGTTCTGTTACAATCACAAAGAAAACCCTTAGAAAATTCTCTATGATAAATAAGAAGCTTTAAAAAAAAATCACAATAGCACTTGAAATTTAATATGTTAAGTTTAAAATACTCCAGTCAAGATTGGGGGTGGGCAGACATTCATGGTCAAAGTACATGACCCTTGAACTGGCTTTATGAGACCTATCACTGTACAATGGCTATTCACCAATAAAGACACAAAAAATAGGAAAAATTGGGCATGGTGGCCCTTGGAAGGCTGAAGCAGGAATATTGTTGGAGTTTGAGGGTAGCCTGTGTTATAGTGTGACATCCTGGCTCCACGGGGGTGGGGGTGGGGTAAAAAAAGGAAGAAAAAGAAAAAGAAATGTGAAAACAGAGTCCAGAATATATTTACCATAATAATACTTACACACCATTTAACTGAAGATAAAGTGAACAAAACACTGTACATCTTACTTGTAATTTGCAAAGCAGTATTTGAACTTACCATGCAAGAAAACTCAGCGTGGCAGTGCTTACCTCTTCATAAACCTTCTTGGCACCATCATTATCTCCCAACAGGAGGTATCCCACTCCAAGGTCGTTTTTTAAGGAAGTGTCACTAGGAAACAGTTGAACTAATCTCTGGAGGGTAAGCAGGGAGCCTCTCATGTGACCTGATTTTGGGGATGAAAAGAGAACAGAAGTGAAAATATGTTTTCCTTTGTATTGAGGATATAAACCACATTTAACAGAGCCTGAAACCAGCTTATCTGACCTTTTCTATTAATGGACTATTAAGTACTTAGTAGGATATAATAGTTATAATGGTATCAGTAATTGCTCTATGTAGATACTAAATGTAATATCAATGACAACATTTTAAAGATGCTGATTTTCTGAATCATCCACATTTATATTTTTATATTAAATTCCCTCTTCTGAAAGTGTCAATTATCAATTCCTTATAGAAATGTTTTCTGAAATAATTTTGGTCAATTAGCTTCAAAATTATAGAGGTTAGATGATGAAAACTCTGACTTTGAATTAAGCACTCTGTATACAACTTGGACAGGTGCCAAGGACATGGGATGGCGCCTCACTGCAGATGCCATCTCCACTAAGGGGTACTTGTCTCTAGGAAATGATGCAGTTGCAGGGCAGAGGCGACATCTTCCAGTGTTATGGGAGCCTCTGGTGGACAACAGGCTACAGTGCAACCCCAGTTTCTGTTCGCTTTTCCGGCTTTTGGATGGAAGTGTCTGGGCCTATCGACATTACTTTTTGTCACAATTGTAAACACAAACTATTTAGGAAAAAATGCACTAAATAAGACCGACATATGCAAAAAACTACCCTAAAGGGTTTAGCTACCTACAAGGGGAATAGTAGTTCAAAGGGGCCAGTCAGGGACTGCGGCCATCTACCTCACTAACAACCTGTCTGGCAGACCCAGGCCTGTGCCCCATTGTTAGCCAATCCTATTGAATCAGAACCCCAGGGTCGTTTGCTCAGCTAGTCATTCCCTCTCCAACAAATCAGTGTTGCTTTTCTGTGCACGTCTGACTCACTGCCTGCCCACCTAGGCTCACGCCTTCCTTCTGCCTCTGAACGCCTTTAAAGATGAAATCAGTGTAGAAGAAAGTGCCTGATGCCTGTCTCTTCCACTCTGTCATCAGGACCCCAGTTCTACTGTGAGCCAACTTGAACTCCCTGCCACTCCAAAATCTTCTGCCCAGTTGCCTCAGAGCCTCCTCATGTGATCTTGCTTCTTTCTCCCTTTGGCAGACTGGGGTTTGAGAGTTTAGCTATCTTCCCAGGCAGACTTCTCCTAGGGCTGGGAGGCAAGGCAAGCACGACAATTCGGAGTTGAATATTTTAATAAAACCTTTAAAAATTAATGTAAAAATTCACGATGAATAGCGTGTGTGTGTGTGTGTGTGTGTGTGTGTGTGTGTGTGTGTTTGCATGTGGAGTACAAGAGACAACCACTTTGGGTGCTGTTCCTCAGGAGCTATCTGCCTCCTTTTCTTCTTCTTCTTCTTAATAATTATTTGTTTGCTTTTTGTTTTTGAGACAAGCTCTCTCTCTGGCCTGGGGTCAGTGAGTAGGTTCTATGCTAGCTTGGCCTGGTAGCCCCAGAGGTTGGCTGGTCTCTGCATCACCAGGACTGGCTTTTTTATTTCCATGTGGGTTCTGGAGATCAAACTCAGTTTCTCATGTTTGCATAGCACACGCTTCACTAGCTGAGCTATCTCCCCACCCCAAAATGTTGGTAAAGACAGAATCAGCAAGTGGTGCTAAGCAAAGCCCTGTGGGAGCCAAGGCATTATCAATGTGGATTCTTTCCTGGTGAGTGCTTAGGTTGCCCCCGTGTGGTCCAGCCCAGTATCTTCAGCCCTGTCTGTGCTCAAAGCTTTCCCCAGGACCGGACTTTCCAAACAGGAGCCAACTGAGCATTTATCAGTGTTTTAATCAGACTTGGGCTCTACTCCTATCCCACTTTTGATCATCTACAAAAGTGACACAATCATCCTGCACGCCATTCCTCAGAAAACTGATAAAAGGGTGAGTGGAGTTCTGACCTGCCAGACCCTCCTTGAAGTGGTATGAGAATCCACCTGTGTAACTGCACAGCCTCTGTCATGAGGCTTGATCTCCCCTCCTTGCCACATGTTAAGGAAAGAGTCACAAGCATGGGTCAAGCAAAGTCAGCCAAGGGCCAGTCTGGCACTGGGTCAGTTGAGAGCATGCTTTAGGCTCTTCTTCCCAGAGGGTTTGTAAATTTATTTTATAATTAAAAATGTATTTTCTAGCATTTTCTTTGGTAGAGGTTCACATTTTTTAGGTGAAAATGTTGGAGTGACTGGAACTCCCAACATTCCCTTTTTTCAAAAAAAATTATGTTTTATTTTTACTTTATGTGTATAAGTGTATTGCCTGCATGTGTGTAAGTGCACCCATATCGTGTAATGTCCGTGGAGCTCAGACGAAGGCGTCGGATTCCCTGGAACTGGAGTTACAGATGGTTGTTAGCCACTATGTGGGTGCTGGGAATCGAACCCGGGTCCTCTGCAAGAGCAGTCAGTGCTCTTAACTGCTGAGCCATCTCTCCATCCCCCAGCAGAGTCATTTTTAAAAAGGAATGTTGGGGGGCTGGAGAGATGGCTCAGCAGTTAAGAGCACTGACTGCTCTTGCAGAGAACCAGGATTGGGTTCCCAGCACCTGCATGGTGGCTAACAACTGTCTATAACTCCAGTCCCAGAGGATCTGGTGCCTTCTCTGGCCTCTGTGGGCACTGCATACACATGGTACAATTACATATATGCAGGTAAAACACAACCCCCCCCCAAAAAAGATTCTGCTAATGACTTCAACTTTGGAGAATGAGCAAGGTAGCATTAAAAATGCAAAGGCATGGCAACATGGGGAGGGATTTGATTCTATGTCTATCCATTTATTACCGACAATTCTTTATACAAAGTGCGCAAAGTCTCAACATTCTATTTTTCTCACCTAAAAAATAGTAGGGGGTAAGGACGTTTAAAAATGTTATCTGCACCTTTGTAATTACTAAGGTTAGGGGCTACAGAATAGCTCAGTCAATACACTGTTTGTCTCACAAGCACAAGGACCTGAGTTTGATTCCCAGAATCCAACTAAAAAGCCAGGTGTGGTGGTGCACACTTGTAATCCCAGTGATCCCTGGGGCTTGTAGGCCAGCCAGCCTAGCCTACGTGATGAGCTCTGGACCAGTGAGAGACCTTGTCTCAAAACAAAAGGAGGAATGGTATTTAAGCTGTCCTCTGACAACCCAACATGCACACACATGCACACACATATCATGCACATCCACAGAAATTTACTGAGGTTGGGATTACGTTTAGCAATAGTCTGTCTAAGACAGATAAGTTACCAGAAATTAGTTGTAAAGCCCAAGTTTCTTACTAGGCACCTTGACTTTCTGAGAATGCATGTCCTTCCTGCCCTTCAAGGCAGACACACACCATCTGCTACTGAGTTAGCACCTACTGCTTCTCACCTAGAAACTGCTGTCGCTCTGACCTCCGCTTCAAACTCAGTCTCACCAAGTCTAGGGGTGCATCGGGCAGGTTGGCTGCCTCCTGGTAGGTCTCGATGGCCCTGCGCAGAACCTCGTTGCTCCTCTTCTTCTCAGCCAAGTCATCTTCACTCTAGAGGAAGCCCCCAGCCAGATCAGTGTCTATGACCTCTACGCTTGGTATTTCCCCAGAGATTCATGAAAAGTTAGCTTTTAGACATGCTTTTAAAAGAAGAGATTAATCTTTTCTCTATCAAGGGATATAAACGAAAGGAAACAAGACAACTACATTAACATGAAGAAAGGCTTGCTGATTTATGGATGAGAAAGATTACAAGATAAAATAATACTCAATGGGGCTGATGGGGATTGGCATCATAATATAAGAGAAAGGGCTGGAGAGATGGCTCAATGGCTGAGAGCACTGTCTGCTCCTGCAGAGGACCTGGGTTTGATTCCCAGCACCCACATGATGGCTAACAACTGTCTGTAACTCCAGTTCCACAGGATCCAACACTCTCTTCTGACCTCCTGGGGCACTGCACGACATGGGTGCACTTAGACATATGCAGGCAATATACTCATACACATAAAATAATAAATAATAATACCAGAGAATATTATACAGACAGGACTCTAGCCCACAGTCTGTGTTCTTTCATTTATCTGTTCATTCATTCATTCATTCGTTCATTCATTCCACAGCTTTTTTCTGGGGTAAGACGCTGTTCTGTGCATGTGGCATACTAAATGGACTGAGCCCTTTTCTCATTTTATTTCACCTAGGAAAGAGCAAAATGACAAATACAAACAAGGATATCATGTGTCTGATGGCTGAAGTATGCTGGGCTATGGCAAAGTCACTGGTGTAATCAGGACAGTCAGAAAGGGTCTGAATAGGGGAATAGGTTATGATACAGGAGAAGAGGTCTCCAGGTCTCCAGGCATAGAGAACAGCAAGGGCTGTGGCTCTCCAAGAGTGAGGAACAGAGGAAAGGCTGGCAGAGTAGAGAGGAGAAGGAGCCAGTGGTGCCCTCAGGTGATGCAGGGCCTGGTAAGCCACTGAGAAACCTGAACCACTCAGTGACATAGAAAGGTCCTTACTTTTTGCACATGACCTGATGTCTGCCTTGAAGAGACTGAAGGGATCATGCTAGCAACAGCAGTGAGAAGAGGCTGAGGGAAGATCAGATGCAGGGAACCCAGGCAGGATGCCATAACACAAAGATAGGCCTGGGATGTCAGTTGCTTGGGTCAATACAGCCATGATGTGGTGATAGGAAGAGATGACATTTTGTGGGTTCATCTTGAAGGTCAGGGTCAAAAGATTTACAGATGCTGAGTGCTGGCTAGTTTTTGTCAACACGACATAAACTAGTGTCACCTGGGAAGAGGGAACCTCAGCTGAGGTATTTCCTCCATCACACTGGCCTGAAGGCACTTTCTTGCTGGCAAGTACGATGTAAGAGGATCCAGCCTACCGTGCCAGTGCCATTCCTGGGCAGGTGGGCCTGGGCTGTATAAAAATGGTAGTTAATAAAAAAAGGTAGGTAAACATGAGGTAGGAGCAAGCCAGTAAGGAGCATTCTTCTGGGGTCTCTGCTTCAGCTCCTGCCTCCAGCTTCCTACCTTGGTTTCCCTTGATGACGGACTGTAACCTGAAAGCCAAATAAACCTTCCCCTCCCCAATTTGTTCTTGGTCAGTGTTTATCACAGCAACAGAAAGCAAACTGTGATATTCTAAATGTAGGATGTGAGAGAAAGAAAGAGAGAGAAACCACCAATGGATTTATGGTTTGGCTTAAGTGATAGCTGACAGAACTGTCATCCCCTGGAAATGGCAGTTAAAGGACAGAATCAGGTCTAGGACAGGCAGGGAATCAGGAGCTCAGTCTTGGCTATAGTAAACCCAAATGCCAAGTACTGATATGGACTCAGAAATGCAGTTCTGAGTGTAGAGCTTAGGGAAAGGTCAGTGCTGTTAAGGATGGACATCGTATTTGAAGCCTGAGAACTGGATCCTAAAATTCTCTAATGTTTTCAAAATCATTAGATTTTGAGGAAGATATAGGAAGATGAGCAAATAGGGTAAAGAATGAGTGAGATAAGAAGAAAATAACCAAATAGTAGTGCCCTAGAAGCCATGTGGACTGCTTAGAGGAAGCCAAGTGACCATGAGGTTGGGCCAGAGGAGAACTAAGGAGAGAACACACAACTCGCAGAGTCTCAGTGGTCCTGGCAGCATTGTTTCCATGGGAGTGTTAGGGCTGAACACTGGGATGGAGTAGGGTCAAGAGAACTGGGGTGGGGAGGGGTAGGAGGAGAGTGGTTTAGTTGTGAACAGGAGCAATGAAATTTGTAAGGGAGAGACCTTCAGGATGAGAGATGATATACCATGTTTCTAAGTTTATGCAAAAGCCACAGCAGAGAAAGGAAATCTGATGGCAAAGGAGAGGACACAACAACCACACGGAAGTCTTCTAGCAGGTGAGAAGGGAAGGAGATGGGTAGTTGATCCCTGCCAATGGGAGGCGAGGCAGAGCACAGGGACACAGGGTATTAGTGCAATTGTGAGATCATGTGGAGATTCTCTGCACACTTCTATTTTTCTAAAGAAGTGCCCAAGATTCTCAACTGGAGATTGAGAATAGGGAATAAAATAATATGGGGGCAGGAAAATAGGGGAGAATGCGTAAGGTGATTATCAATAGCTCATCAGATATAACAGGTTTTAATTTAAAGATTAGCATTTAAGAAAAAATGATGTCAGTTTGATGCTGAAAGTAGTATGTAAAATTTTAACATCAGAATATATAAACATTTTTACCTATTTAACATGAAGCTGGACTGATGAACCAAGTTTGAGGACCTGGTCAGAAAATATTCATATCTTCCTTCATACAGCAAAGAATTTGTAAGAACCAACATCAATAGATAAAGACATTTGTGAGAAAGGTTTGTTTTTGGTTTTTTTTTTAGAAAACAGCACATCAATAAAATAACATTTTACCATGTATTCATTATGGGAAGGCTCTTAGGATGATGAGGGCTAGAACAGAAGTAGTAGACAGATATGGACAGACTGAACAAAGGAAGGAAAATTTGGTAAGAAAAACATCTCTAAGATTAGAAAATGGAAATTCATCCTTGTGGAAATACATATCAGACTTTTCATTAACTTTTCAAATCCACACTGGTCGCCCAGAACAGACTCACCTACCAGGACCAGAAGTATCATTGTATATTCATAGCCTGCCTTTCTGCTTAGCCACCAGCTTTGTGGGAGTTTGGCTACGGTGAGTTAATTTCTTAGATCATAAACACTGATAGATAACTGAATAGAAACAGTGTCCCTGAACTGAGAGAATGCTACTGACCACCAAGTATAGCCTCTCCACCTAGAGTCAGCAAAGCTACTGGGAACAGATCTGGGAACCGAGGTCTCTGCAAAGTTAGCAGAAGAGCAAATGCCTACTACCTCAGTAATCCTTTAGACAGACAAATGATGTTCTTTAAGCTCATACTGAAAAGAGAGAAGGATGACATACTCTGCGTGCCTGTCCCTTTCTCAAGCCCCCTTGGTCCTTCATTTTAACCAAGTATAAAGGTTTTATAAATTTTAGAATAAGAAATATTAAAATATAAGATGATTCTCTTAAAATCAGTTGAATGAGGTGCTGGAGAAATGGCTCAGTGGTTAGGGGCACAGGCTGCTCTTGCAGAGAACCTAGGTTCAGTTCCTGGCACCAACATGGTGACTAACAACCATCCAAAACTCCAGTTCTGGGGATACAATGCCCTCTTCTGGCCTCCACAGGCATTGCATGATATGGGTGCACTTTGTACATGCAGGCAGGCAAAGCACTCAAAAAATAAAAAATAAATAAAAATTAAAAAATCGGCTGAATGAAACTGTCAGCATTTATTTAGAAACTGGAATTGTACAGAGTGAATTTGCATCTACAAAGCACACAAGCAAGGCTAAGGGTGAACATTTTCTATAGCACGTCAATGTCACACAGCCTTCTGTGGACAGACTAAGTCACTCAAGCTTCCTAGGAGATGCATTGCTTCGTGCCTCAGAGCTGCTAACTGAGAAAGACAATGAAGTGAACTCAGTTTACAATTAAAACTTTTGTGTCCAATGTTTAAGGGAATTTGTTCGGAATTGATTTTCACAGTGATCCAAGACTCAGATGTTGTCAGTGGTACTTAAAATCTGATGCCCTCTTTTGGCCTCCATAGGCACGGCAATCACATGGTGCAATTACATATATGCAGGCAAGATACACACACAAAATAAAAATAAAGAAATATATTTTAAAAAATACACTAGTTTATATTTCACTTGATGTTGACTTTTTCACATTTGTTGAAAGATTTCAAAGAAACTATTTAATGTGCTGAGAATAGGAAAACTCATACTTTATTCCTCCTAACAAAAATCCATCCTCTATTGATTTCTTTCAATTTTTAAAGTTCTTGTGAATTTAAAGTTTCCTTTAAATTACTCTATTAAAATCTAATTTACCACAGTAACTTTTGTTTTATGCCACATTAGTGTTAATATCAATAACATCTGTAGCATAATAGCTAAGAGATAAAAAATACTGCCTGAGGCCTAAATCTCAAATTCCTTCTGTGAAAGAAGGCTGTATGCACAGAAATCACCATGTACCAAAGGCATGCATTTATTTAGTCTTTGGTACCCACAATTAAGAAGACATATACAAAAAACCTTTCAAAGTACAAAAACTTTGTGCCATAATTAATATTTGTACAGCCATTTTCTGTCTAGTTGATGGGATTTCCTTAATCAAGGGGCTTAGTATTAGTGACAAAACACATCAGCTATCAGAACAGGCAGGATTTTTTTTTGGTAACAAACATTCTCTCTGGATAGCAATGTAGTTTCCTAATGTTAGAGGATCACAGGCTAAATTAGTTTTCAAAAATCATATGGTTGCTATGTACTACAAGCTGGTCTGTGTCAAGGACGAGAGGAATGTAATCATATTAGTTGTTTCACAAATTTGATTTATAAAAATTTAATTAATATAAATTAATAGGATAGGATAAATCTAAGCACCTGGGTCTCAAATAGCTGCCGTTTTCAGCTCAGAGCAAGATATAACTGCTTTCTCTGTAGTGTGTTATTACCTGTGAGGGTCATGCACAAGTTCCTGTATGGACCTCTCCAGGGGAATGCTGTCTTGCTCTTCCTTGGTCTGCTAATTTCTGTATTGTTTCCCAGTGGGACTGATCATCTTCCCCACTTCCTCCCAAGGAAAACTGTAGGAGCTTTATTGTCAGACACATTTGTATATCAGCTCTGGCTTTTACTCTTATGTTCCAAATTCTATAAATCTAGAGGTGTACTTGGCATGTCCACTTGAATATTTATTTAATAACCATAGCAAACTGCAAACTTAAGATGAGAAATGAACTCATGATTTCAGCCTCTCTCCAAACGTGTTCTGCCTGGTCAATAACTGGCATTATTCTTTCCTTAGCAGTTCACAACAAATTCTGCAAGTTCTGCAAATTCTTTCTCTGACCTTTTCATCTAATCCTCACCAAGCCCTGTGCCCTCTCCATGGCCATGGCCACAGTGCATGCCACCAGCACCTCTTGTATACACTAAGGAAGCCGTCTCTTTGTGCATCTGCTTCTGCTCTCATTACCCATTCTCCACCTGGTAACCACAGCAATCTTTACAAAAGCAATCAGACAGCCACACGCATGGGCAACCCCCTCCAAAGACTTCCCAGGGCACAGAGAATAGGAGACGTGAGGTAGTGCTGGCCTCCCTGTCTGTCCCGTGCATGCAGCATGCCATTCTTTCTATTCCAGCTTCTTATGCCAAAATTGTTGCCCTGCATCATGGCCTTTGTCTTGCTGTTCCCTCCACCTAGACAGCTCCTTCTATGACCTTGTCACACCTCAGCCACTTGTCCCCTCCCAAGAAAGCCCTTTCTGACCACCTTATCTAAAATGCTGTCTGTTCTGTCACCTTCAATCACATCACCTGCAACCAAGACTCTTAGCAGCTATGCTCCTAGAATTCCGCTGCCTTCTTTTCTTTCCCTCATGGCATGCATTATTAGGTAATATGATTTAATACACTTTAATGTCTTATAAGATTTAAGATGTTTGTTTATAAAAATCTCCAAGGCTTGGCTCAGATGTTACCTCCTTGGTGAGACCTGTCTCTGTCACTCTTTTCATCATGCTGGCCCCTCACGTGTCCAATGGCTGTTCCCTGATTTCTTTTAATTCTCCTTGCACTCAACAATAACAAATATAGGCTTGGTACTTACATGTCATATGCAATGTCTTTCCTTCGTACCGGAGCTTTGTAAGTAAGTACGTTTTCTTGATGGACCTGCCTCCAGTGTCCAGCAGTGGTGGACACATAGTGGGCTTATACCACATATCTTTAGAATAAGTAATTTTAAAAAATTCCCTAAGATATGAGATCCACAAGGACAGAGACACTCAGTTGTTCCTTATACTGGAAATATTTTTAAGTTGTCTATTCACTATGACAATTGACATCCTAGACAATCTCTAGGGCTAACCATCTGACAGAGCAAGGAAGCCTAGAGCCAGACTTCCTCTGCCTGTTCCTATACACAGAAGGCACCATCCCTGTCTCAGTTATCCCAGGACCCAATACTCAGCAACTAGAAACCATTTCTGTAGCCCAAGACAGGCCAAGTCAAACTAGGTAGCCCTAAAGTGTTTACCCCGGCCTACCCTGCCTTTCTCATGGAAGCTCCCTCAAAGACCACACTAAAGCTTCCCGGCTCCTCTGGTCTTCTGTTACCAGCATCTTTCCCATGTGGCACTGCATGGGCTGCCAGCTTCTTATCTTTCGGTCAAGAATACAATAAACTGCTTTATCCTGAGCCACATTTTGTGTCCTCTTTCATGGCGACATTTGACTATCTCCTAAAACAAATACCGAACAGATATTCCCAGCACAGGAGGGTTCATGCAGTTAGTTACAGGTGAGTGCCACCAGCCTCATGACAAGAGTTGTAAGATTAAGAACCCCAGAAAAGGAGATGGGGGGGGGGGAGAAGGGGATGGCAGCAGGGGGCTGGTAAGAAATGAGTCAAGTAAAAGAAACAGCACCTTCCATGTCACATTTTTGAAAGGTTTCTCTAAGGCAGAGACATACAATTTCTAGTTACACAGCAGAGTCTAAAGGCTCTGAGGAGCCTGAAATGAAAACCATGTGGTAACTCAGATGGAATAGGGGGCAGGAGTGATGAGAATCGGTGACAAAGGTGCTCCTTTATTTTCTTTGCAAACTCAGACAAGTCATCTGTATGCACCGCAGTATTGTTTAAAATGATAGTTCTTTCCTGGGTTTACAAATATACTTAGGAAACTGGCTGAAAAGAAATTAGAGATGGAACAGAAAAGATGAAACCATGAGAGAGTAGAAAATCTGGTCACAGAGAACACATGAACAGCAGGAAAGTTCTGATGAGACGGCTCAGGAATACCTGTGCTTTCCCGAATCTTGCTCGTGGACTCTGAGGGTACTTTCGAACTAATTCTTCAAATGCACTTACTGCTTCCTCAATTTTCCCCTGTTGAAAGACACAGTTTCATAAATACATCCTAACGTATAATGCTATCTAGTTTTGTTATTTAATAGTCACCAAGGGACTCTGTAAGAATCTTTTTGAATTTAAGCATATTTACTTGTTTTCTTTTTTTTTTTTAAAGAAAAACAAGCTGTATTGGGTAACAAACATAAACTTGAAAATGAGAATTTTTTTTTTCTTTTTTGAAACTGGGTCTCCCTGTAGCCCCAGCGGGCCTAGAATTGGCAAGGTAGACCAGGCTGGCCTCAATCTCACAGAGATCCACCTGGCTCTGCCTCTAGATTAAAGGCAGGTGTGGTGGTGCAGGCACCACCAAACCCAGTGCTCATATCTTAATTTGTAAAACACTGCATACTGACAATGATGCAGAATGTTTTTGTTGAAGATACTGAATTTTTTTCTAAATATGCACAGTCCTAACGTTTTTGTAATGAGCATACTTAGATTATATGTGGGGGGCGGATGCCTTCAGTCCTTCAGAGGGAATGAGGTATTTCATTGAAGCTCTGAAACATCTGTGAAAAGGATGAAGAATAAGCAAGAAGGGCCACTCCATCCTGGCACTGGTGGAAGCCAAGGTTGGTTTGGCGCATCTGGCTGCCTCTGTGGCATACAAACCTTCTCAAAGTTTATATGAGCTCTTAGGATGATGCCTCAGCATATTTCATAGACCTCTGACCATACTGCATGAAAAGAAATGGAAGTTTGCAACAGGACAACTTGCTGGGGGCCTGGCACTGAGGAGAAGCGTTTCTCCACCTCCCTCTATCCCACAGTGTGAAAGAAGTGTCTCCTGGCTTCAGTAGGTGGCAGCATGATGGGCTCTGGATGTTAAATGTCCTCCAAACAGCAGGTGCTGAAGGTCGGTCTCCAGCTGGTGGTACTGTTACAAAATAGTGGAACTTTTACAAGACTGGGCTTAGAGAAAGGAAGTTACATCATTAGGAGGATGTGCCTTGAAGTGGAGAACTGGGACCTTGATCTCTCTCTTCCTTTCTCTCTGTTTCTTGGACATCAGGAGAGGAGCAGCTTGACCAGCCCAGGCTGCCTACCATGACGTTCCACCTTGCCACAAGGCCAAAAGCAATGGACCAAGAACCATGAAACCAAACCCTCTGAAATCTGAGCCAAAATAAACCTGTCCTCCTAGGCTGATATCACTAGGCATTTATCACAGTGATGGAAAGCTGACTAGTATACACTATGGGTCAAGAATATACATTCATGGGATTCAGATTGTTTGTTTTCTTGTTTGTTTTCTTGTTTGTTTTCCAAGTTAACCTCACATGCTCTCTATAAACTGGAAAATTCATTCTACATGTAAATGCAAGCTCACTGTGATTTATATGTTCTGATATTTACTGAAGCTTTTTTTTAATACAACAAAATTTATCTCACAAACATGGCTGTGTAAGGCAGGCTGTAAAGTACTACCCAAATCACTTTGTACCTACTTCTAAAAGAGTTCTTGACTAATGCAGCATCCACGTTAAAGTTTTCTTCATTCTTTCAAGTCTTTATTATCAAAGAAGTCAGTTTCCTCTTCCCTTTCACACACCCACAAGTGATGCTGAGGGAGTGGATGAAAATGTACAGCATAGTGGTTACAAGTATCAGCTCCAGAGCCAGATGACTGTGCTGAGTCTGGATGGCAATATTTACAAGGTGTGTAACTCAGGTCAAGTTACTTAAAACTGTGCCTCAGGTGGTCATCAGTAAAATGGAGTAGAAAATAGTACCTGACTTCTTTGTGAGGTTACCATAGGTTAAATATAAAATGTATTAGTTACTTTTCTGTTGCTGTAATGAAATACCATAATAAGGCAACTTGTAGAAGGAAGAGTTTATTTGGGCTTATGGTTCCAGAGGGATAAAGAGTTCATAATAACGGGGAGGCATGGCAGCAAGTGGCAGGCACGGTGGCAAGAGCTGAAAGCCGAGCACTCACATCTTCAGTCACAAATATGAAGGAGAGAGAGAGAACCAGAAGTGGGGTGAGGCTATGATTTCTCAAAGCCCGCCCCCAGTGACATACTTCCTCCAGTAAGTCTAAACCTCCTGACGATTCCCTAATCTCCTCAAATAGCACCACCAGCTGGGAGCAAAGTGTTCAAATACTTGAGTCTATGGGGAACATCTCTCATTCAAACCACTACAGATACTATACGTTAAGGGGCTTGCGGACGCTACGGAGGGTATAGAAAATATTGAGCCATGTTAGCTGTTATGGTGGGGGACAAGACAATGGGAGCCATTCCATCTCTTACCTGATCAATAGGCAGCTTAATGGAATGAGATTGAAAATTTGGATGCAGTGATAAACCAAGCCAGAAACATTCTCCAAGTTATACTCATTGCTAGAAATAAACACGTCACTATTTAAGATAGACTGTCTCTCTTACAATATTAATTTTTAAAACTGCTATGTCCTTTTTTTGTGAATGATTTTAAGGAGTGGCAAAGGATTCAGGCTGTGTCTTTTTTCTGTATGGTTCTTTATAAATATAGTTTATATTAGTTTCCTGTAGATAATGTAACAAATTACTATGACTTTCATGGCTTAAAGCAATGTAAGTGATTGTTGTCAGGATTCTGGAGAACAGAATTCCGAAATCAGTTATACTGAGCTAAAACCAAGCTGCCGACAAGGCTGCGTCTACATCTAGACTCTCCAGAAAAGGATCTGTTCCTGCCAACCTAGCTCCTGAAACCACCAGCATTCCTTGGCTTGAGGCCATAATCTCTTCCTTCATCTTCACATTATTTTCTTTTATGTATATTTGTCCTTTCTTCTGTCTGGAGCAAGTTTCTGTTTCTCTCTCTCAAATAAAGACACATTCTGGTTCCTTCCAAATAATTCATGGCAGTATGTTTTTGCAACATCTTTATCTTAAACACACCTAGATAGCCTCTCATTCTAAAGAAGGTAACATTTACTCATCCTAAGATTAATAAACATCTCTCTCTTTCTCTCTCTCTCGCTCTCTTTTTTTCTTTTTTTTGGTTTTGAGATACGGTCTGCTTGTAGCCCCAGCTGGCCTGAAGCTTACTATGTAGACTAAGCTGGCCTCAAACTCACAGAGATCCGCCTGCCTCTGCCGCCCCAGTGATGAGATCAAAGGCATGTACTACCATGCCCAGCCTGTAAATATTTCTTTTAGGAGGTCATTTTTCATTCTCCTAGAGTGTCCTTTCTATCTCTAAAGATTCATGTCTTTCAGGGCTGGAGAGATCGCTCAGAGGTTAAGAACACTGGTTGTTCTTGCACAAGACCTGGGTTCGAATCCCAGCACCCACATGGCAGCTAACAGTTGTCTGTAACTCTAGTCCCAGGGGATCCGACAGCCTCTTCTGACCTCCTTGGGCATTGCACGACATGGGTGCACTTACCTGCATGCAGGCAATACACCCATACACATAAAATAAAAATAATAAATTTAAAAAAAGATTCATGCCTTTCCACATGCAACACATATTCATTGTATTCCAATATCCCTCAAATTTGAAACCCCTGTAGCATCTACTCAAGTCTAAAATCTCACTTAAGTCTCATCAGCTTCAAAGTCCCAAATCTTAGTACTAAAGTCAGCTAGATCAAGTATGAGAACTCTGCCCTAAAGCAAAATCCCTGAAGCTAGAAAACAGGTTATCTGCTTCTAAAACAGGATAAGTATAGGATCACATTTATGGGTATTCCTGTTCAATAAAGGAGAAAATGGAAGGAACACAGGAACCAGTGATTCTAAAATCCAGCCAGGCAAACTCCATTGGGCTCCAAGGATTGGAAGTGATCCTCCATGGTTGAGGCCTGGTTCTCTTCTCCTTGTCTCTGACCTGTGCATCCAAAGATCTGATCTTGGACCTTTCCTTGCTTTCTATTGAAAGGATGATGTAAGTCTGCTACTCATAGTTTTATCAGCCTGTTTTGGGGGTTTGTCATTTTTGTTTCCTATCCAAACTGGTGGTACCTGTGTTCCTATATACTTTTTTAAAGTGTTTTAAAATTTATTTTATTTTATTTATTTATTTATTTATTCATTTATTTATTTATTTAAATTTATTTGAGACAGGGTCTCCTTGTAGCACCAGCTAGCTTGGAACTCCCTATGCAGACCAGACTGACCTCCATCTCACATAGATCTGCCTGCTTCTTCCTCTACAGGACTGAGATTAAAGGCATGCACCACCACACCTGGCTCATCCTATAAATTCTCCGAACTCTTTAAGTTTGTTATGGGTGGTCATAAAGACCTACACCTCTAGGCAAGAGGCTCATCCTCAGACCCCTCCCAGACAATCTCTTCTCTATCTTGACTCCCACTGAGATGGTTCAATGGATCCAAGACCTGCACATCTAGACGTCCCAGGAAAAGCTGTCTTGCTCTACTTTGAACTTCCCGCCAGAGAACACTTCCCTAACAATGAATTCTCTCATTTTACAATTTGAAATCCGTATAATCAAATACTGGCTCTTTTTCCCCTCAATAATTTCTCCTTCAATCTATCTCTTTTCTTGCATTTTTACTACGAACAGCACAGAGAAAATAGACTGTACCATCAATACTTTGTGTGGAAATCTCCTTAGCTGAACACTCAGATTCGTCACTTAGAAATGCTTTCTGTATGCCCATCCAGAATGCTTTCTGCCACATGAACACGAGCTAACTTTCCTCTAGTTTTCAATAGGACACCTCTCATTTCCATGTGACTACTTGCTGGGAATGGCCTTCAATATCCATATTCTGCCCCATTTCTTCATGATGCTAAATGTATTGTGCAAGATAAAAAATATTTTGTCTGCTATGACCCTCACTGCTACTTGAGCCCTCACTAGAGGCACCTTAACATTCATAGTTCAACCAAGTTTACTTAAGGCAATTCAGGTATTTCAAATGCATGTACCTCATATACTACCATGCACCTCAAAATTCTTCCAGTCTCTCCACCTTAACCAATGCCAAAGGTGTTTCTACAGTTTTAGG